GCATTTCAGTACTGATAATAATGGAGCAATTCTTTCTGCACTTGCAACCATGCAGGTCACTCTCTATACTTGCAATCATGCAGGTCACTCTCAGCAGTTACAAATTAGCAGTGTCTGTCCTCCTTTTAGCCTTCCAAATACCACTACTGACAGTTTAAAGCAAAGAAAAGTCAGAAAACACAGTTAACTATTCTTATCGGCCATATTGAATTTGTTGCAACGGGCACGCCCAAGAAAATTACATTAATTATTCAACGATTTTCCATTATCCAACACGGCTTCCTAATTCTCACTTCACTTCCTTGTACAACTTCGATATGGGCAGTCTACCAGACTCTCTCCCCGCCACCCCCAAGTCAAAAAGGGGAGGAGTCTGGCTACGCGAGACTAATGCTATGGAGACTGCTACATGGAAGCCATTCAACAGAATACCACAAGTGTACGTTTGCTTGAGCCTAATTAACCACTTGTGATAACTATGTCCCCATAAATATGTTTAAAGCAGATAAACGCCTCCTATGAGGCATTTATGGAATTTGTAAACCTTGGGCTTCACCCTCGGTTTCCAAATTCCATAAACGCCTCGTAGGAGGTGTTTATCCATTATATATTTGTGATGGTTGCTGTGTGGGAATGTCAATTAATGTCCTTAGCAATACCATACTATTTGTGATGATTGCTAGTGTGGGAGAGGTCAGGTGCTTCACATAAAAACTAGTGTCAGCCCATGAGATGAGCTCGTGCCGGATCACGCCACTTAACTACCCTGATGTGATAGTGTCAGCCCATGGGGTGAGCTCATGCAGGCTCACCCCACTTCAAACTAATAGTAGAAATAGACCTGCATTCTGTTTCTTGGTTACCCTGATTTAGTGATCTGAAGAATTAGAGAAAGGACCTGCGAATTAGCTGAACTCAATAATGGGTGGAACTTCATCAACCGAGATAGTGTATAGGGATCGTGAAATAAAGGTAGAAGTGGAGAGTGAACAGAGCAAACAATACAGGAAAATGTTGCAAGTTGACAATCAGTTGGAAAAAATTAGAGAAGAAGTATCGTGTCTAAATCCAGTAATCACAGAAGGAATTAAATCTGGAATTAAATCAAATGATTCTGCAGTTATTGTGAGACATGACGGTAGCACAGACAGAGATGCTATTGTTCAAAATGTCGAAAAGTTTTTTCCTAGTAATCCTTGCAAAAATGAGCTAGTTAAATCAGCTACTAATCTCCTTGAGCTTATCAATGCTACCAGAGGAGTACATGACTTACTGAAGTGGGAAAAGCTAGTAGTTTATAAGAAGGTAAAGGGAAATGTGTATGGATTTGAGCTTCAATATAAAGTAAGGTTCCTGGATGAGCTTAAAGGCAAGGTTCCTGGATTCAGGAGCAATGAAACTACACTCCTGGTGGCATTCAAAAGTGCCTTATATCTTATGGATGAAGATCCACACGATTTTCCTGATGCAGAAGAAGTTGAAGCAATCCAAATGTAAAAGAATTAATTAAGTATTTTTGCAGACAATTTAGTGACTAACATATTCATATTTTTTTAATGATTTATTGGTGTCATTGTAATGATTGCTTTGTATTAACAAATAAATTGAGCTAGTTCATTATTATAGTTTGGACAACCTGAAATTCTTCTAAACGTATAGCACTCTATTTTTGAGGAGCAAAACTTTTGCAGTTTTGTGGATTAGTATCGAACAGTAAAATGAAATCTTTGCAAAACATTCAATTACCAATAAGGGTGTGGTGCTAAAATTGAAATTTATAAAATTTATTTTCATTTAAAAAATTCATTTTTATATATCCACAAAAGTTTTGTTTTATGAAAGTAAAGTGCTATACACTGTAACTGGAATAGGAAACTAGAATTTGCTACATGGATAATGTCTATGATTGGAATGGGTGTAAGCTGTAATGGCTGAATCACACTGCAAAATTATGTTAAGGTAAGGCATTACATGTGCACGTTAACTTGTTAAGACAGGAAGTGGCCATGGTTTATGTAAAGTACAAATAGAAATATTTTTATTCTTATGTTGGGTAAACAGTAATGAATTTTAATTTTAATGACTTTTGATCTCACGCACTAACAACATAGTTCAATATTATAGCCAATCATTAGTGTTAGTTTTCACTTAGTGGGAAGAAAGCACCCATCTATTCCATGACCATGAGTTTCCATTATTTTGTGGGTTTAATTGTCATTTTTGAAGGCTGGAAAATGAAAGTTTGGGCAAAAGAGAAAACCACTGTACAATACTGTATACTAAAAAATTTTGTTTCGTTAAACTTTTGTAAATTTCGTGTTTTTGTTTGCAAAAATTTCAACTACAAAATTTTGTATCTTCAGTGCCACATGGTACAAGCTACATGTTATCATAAAAATTGTAACATAAACAAGACACTGTTGGTACATTGGTCTCACCAAAGCAAAAAAAGCAATAATAGCTTTACAAAACTTTGTCCTGCATATTACCACTGTAGGTATTAAAAGTTGCTTGTTATAGTGCTATTGTTAAATTGTTGATTGCATTCTTCATAGTCTAATTAAGATGTGAGGGTGTTTGGGTGTGGCTGCAAACTGATAGCATGCAGTTGTTAAGGCAACCATACACCATGAAACTTGTTTCATGAAGCATCTTTTATACAGGAGTCAATGGAGCTTGAAACATGTTTCTGAGGTACATGTACATACAATTTGACAGAGGACCAGCAGAGTTCAATATAACCATCTTAAAAATTGTCAACACATTCCTTTGCAAATATAATTTATGATTCGAGGCCACAATATTAGTATTTTCATGAAAAATTCATAAAATTTATGGTCTTTGATGAAAGAGCACCCTATGGCATCACAACAATCTCCCTACCATTATTTCTATTATTAGAACTCACGACCCCAGAAGGGCCAGAACCCCCACATAACATTTACTATTATTACTTAGAACAGACAGCCTCATTATATCTTAATCTTATTCTCCCTCCCAAAAGGCTCCCATAATTAATTATGCTATTATTAGAACTGATAATTCTATTATTAGAACACTGAGACAAGTCAGGCACGTGCAGTCGTGCACACTGCACAGGCAGTCAGGCACTGCCAGGCCAGGAGCTACTGGCCTACTGCTACAGTTGTACTACTAGACGAATGTAGAACATTAAAGGGGCGAGCCTAAGCAAGCCATAGTGTATTATTTATGAGCAAGCAAAGCAATTGTATTCATGTCCATGCAAAATACAAAAAAGTGAAAATTTTGTCCAAGCATGTCATTAGCTAGTCATCTGATCACTATCATCACTTATGAAATCTCTGCAGCAGATGGATAAAGCAAGCATTAATGATCTGTTATAAGCAGTCACTGAACAATTTGTATTTTGAAGAAGTTTGTACTTCTGCTTTGCTAACCTCCCTTGCTGCTAGAGATGACTCAGCAGCAGAAATCATTTGAATGCAGCTTTCTCCATTGCAGCATTCAGCTTATCAGGGTCCTTTGTATCAATGAAACGATTGTATGTCTGCTGTCCCAACCTATCTTGCTGCTACAGAAGTCTTTGAACATCAGTTTAGTCTTGTCTTGTTGACCGTTTACTGCAAATAAGCTCAGACTTGCTGCTAGCCGCCATTTTATTCATTGTGACCACACCCGCTTTCAATGAAGATTAAGCTATTTAACTTTAATAATAGTTAGACGATCCTACTGCCCATACAGACGTTTTCTCGCCTTAGTGGGGTGAGCTCAGGCTCGCCCCAATAATATACTCTGCTAGAGTCTGCTTGACTGCTTCAGCCTTCAGCCATCCCAAGAATTTTAAAAAGGACCAGCCAAGTGGATTAACAATTTCACATAATGGGTGGAACCTCATCAACTGAAATAGTGTACAGGCTGGAACCATTAATCACAACAGGAGCTAAAGCCCAGTTCAAATCAACTGAATCTGCTGTCATTGTGAGATATGACGGTAGCACAAACAACAGAGATGCTATTATTGAAAACATAGAGAAGCTTTTTCTTGACAATCCTTGCAAAGAAGAGCTTCTAAAGACAGCTACAAATATCCTTCAGGCGGTCAAGAATGCCAAGCAAGTACGTGACTTAAATAAGTGGGAAAAAAACAGAAATTTGTACAAAAGTAAAGGAAAAGGTGTATGGAATGGAGCTTCAATATAAAATAAGGTTCCTGGACGAGCTTAGAGGCAAGGTTCCTGGATTAAGGAGCAATGAAATTATACTGCTGGTGGCATTCAAGAGTGCCTTATACCTTATGGATAAAACCCAGATGATTGCTCTGGTGAACAGGAGATTGCAGCAATCAAAATGTAAAAAGAATTCTGTACATTTTGTGATTAGGACAAGTACATGTATGATTCATTTAGGCTTTATTGGTTTCTTTGTAATGATTGGTTTGTATAAGTTAACTTAACAAACAAGAATGAATGAGAACAGATCATGTATTCTGTAAGTATGTAGCCTTTAGCTCTACTTAATTTACAAACACAATCCTATTTTTGTTAATCACACCAGTATCTACTGATGTCAACAGTAGGCCTAGGGATAAAGAATCAAATATAGCGAGAAACTAAAGGGATACCTTCCTTTACTGACTCACCATCACTCTAGAGGTGGAGGTTGCCATTACAAGATGGTTACAGCTGTAAAGTGTCATTTATCATTATTGTGCATGCTCTATGTAGACACACAGACACATGATAAATACCGTACAGAAGGAAATTTTGGAGGGACTAAATTTTGGCGAATTGCTAAATTTTGGATGATTGGCGAATTTTATTTTGGCGAATTTGTGGCCATGTGCTATTGAGCATGTGCATAATGGCTCAAAATGGCAAATTCTTATTTTGGCAAATGGCTATCAAAACGCCAAATTCGCCAAATTTAACTACCTCCAAATTTTCCTTCCGTACGGTATCGTGATAGTTAAAATAACAGTATCACAATCTCCCTAGCTGCACACTATCATCACAATATTGGATCTATAAATACAATTGCCCAGGCCATATACAGTATTTTTAGAAAGTTATAAAATTTCCTAATTTGTTGGGATACACGGGTATGGTAGGATATTGGAAAGGAGGACATGCTAATTGGGAGCAAATTATGGGCAGAATAAACACACATTGTGACTCAACATGAGAGGTGGCTGGTGAGCAAGTACTTTCCATCATTATTTATGAGCTTAAATGTACAGTAGAACATTTATTACTCATTTGTAGTAATTAAAAATGTGTTGTTAATTACTTGTGTATCAAGGTTTCCTTCACGAAGCAATGGACAGTCAGTCATCTCAGGAGAGAGTGGCCTCACTGATACTGAAGTGGGCAATGAGCATAAATACCTACACACACACACACACACATATACAATGTAATCAACCATCAGTCATTACACCAATGTAACATATAAAGCCTGATTAATATACAATATACAGCAAGTAGATGTACATGTACATGCAATGAAGCATACAGTACATTGATTGCATCAAAGAACATGTACATGTACAATCTCAATTAATGAGTAAGAATGCACATCAGATGTACATGTACATTAAGTGTATTAAGCACAGTACATACTTGATAGCAATGGTCTCATCAGCAGGTATCTTGTTCTTGGAAGTGGGTCCATTGCCAACAGTAAAGACAAGAGTCTGTTCCCCTAGTTTCTTACATACCACCAGGTACTCGTGTTGAGTCAGGGAAGATGAGGGGATTGATCTTATACTGACAGCATCAGGTACCTCTGGGACCACTGGAGATAGGAGAGAATAATGAAGATTAAAATAATGTACACGTGTACGGGTCCATTTACATTAGTTTGACCTGATTCCGATCAAAATTAGATTTTTTGAACTTGCTCCAAAATCAGGCCAAAGTCCCTGTACTATAGTACAGGGATTTTAGCAAATTTTGCCAAAAATTAAAAGGAAAGAATTCTTGATTTTCATAATTTTTTCTGATACAAATACATGTCCTTATGTTGTGTAGAAAGTTTGAGCTGATTCTGATCAAGTTTGGATTTTTTACGAATTTTTGAAGTTGCTCCAAAATCTGGCCAAAGCCCCTGTACTATAGTGCAGGCATTTTGGTCAAATTTCGCCAAAAATGAAAAGGAGAGAAATCTCAACTTTTATAATTTTTTTCTCATACACATACATGTACTTATGTTGTGTAGAAAGTTTGACCTGATTCCAATCAAAATTGAATTTTTTATGATTTTTAACGACCTGGGGGCGAAGTCCCCAGGTCGTTCCTATAATTGATTTCACCGTCGCGCTATCTATATATATATATATATATTTGTATGTCCACACTTACATTTCTTCTATACATGTTGCATTGGAGAAATAACAAGCCTTAGCAACCACCCGCCCACACTCCTTTATGTGAGTGGGTGTGGCCACAGCAAACAAAATGGCGGCTTACACATGGGACAAAGTTAAGAGCTTTCTAACAGCAAGAGAGCATAGAGATACTGTCTAAAGACTTCTCTAGAAGCATTATAGGTAGAGAGAACCTCTATAAGTCTTAATAATGACCAAGTTGTACTTGCAAGGTGGTGAAATCAATTATAGGAATATTTTTTACACTGTTACGCTTGTTTAAAGTTGCTCCAAAAGGCCATACTAATATGCATTAGTGCTTTTCAGCTCATGAAGCATACAAGTACATGTATTCTTGAATCTTTCCCAACTCTTGTGCATTGAATATCATTACATGGAACAATGTGAATAGACTCTTAATTGATTCAATAATAATACACATCAGGTCCTTACATTTCCTGAAATACTTGGAAGGGTCTAATACCCAACTGGAAGGACCTCCTTCAAGAACAACAGTCTTACTGGACCCGAGGGTAACCAGTACAAAGTCCTCAGGATCAATGGAGCGCAGTACAGGGTATGCTGCTATGGTAACGGAGGCTTGAAGCTCTAACAATCCGTGGGTGTAGGTAAGGGTCAGTTTGGTATGTCCAGGTTTGATTGAAGTGGCTTTAATGAAGGTACAGGCATCAGGAGGGAGAGATGATAGACCTGAGAATAATCAAGAGAATAATGAAATATGATACACTCAAAACAAACAATAATACATTGTATCTATACGCATAAGTATGAAGGATGTACTGCATTACACGTTTCTAGTGTAAAATTACCCTTTTTCTCCTATTATTCCAAGTCACTCCCTTTACTTGTATTAATCTTATCTGTATATGTATCGTATATTATTACACATATCGCTTTTATGTCCTTTTATATCCCATTTTTATCTCCCCTCCTAATAGCATATATAATAGTGTACAGTCAATTGATCTACATTACATACATGTATGTACTTAATTTCCACTCTTATAAGCTATTACATGTGTACATGTATAATATCAAATATGGATCTCATTCCCCCTAACAATATTAACACAAGCTCCCTCTTCTCTTACTGATGTTGTGATCAATGGATATATTAAAGATGGCTTCATCAGCCAGTGAGTATTGGAATCCCATGAACCGACAGTCATAGAAAGGGAGTGTCATTGGAGGATCATCTAACGTCCTTCCTAGTACTTGTAATGGAAGGTAAAGGGAACCACCGACTTCAATTTCAACCCGTGAAGAAATGAAGGACATCTCAATTGGTGGGACAACGTAGACCTGAGATAAGAGAGGCAATAATAAACAATTGTACATGAACGTATGATGCATCAGAACACATGTGTGTAGTAACAATTGATTGAAGAGATTTTTGACAAAATGCACGACATGTACTATATAGTACAGGGACTTTGACCCAATTTTTGAGTAACTTTAAAATTCATTTAAAAAATTGAACTTTGGTCAGAATTAGCTCAAACTTGCTACACAACATAAGAGCATGTATATGTTTCAGAAAAAAATTATAAAATTGAGAATTCTCTCCTAGCCATTTTTGGCAAAATTCAGCCAAAGACAGGGAATTTGACCCAATTTTTGAGTAACTTTAAAAATTCATTAAAAAATCCAAATTTGGCCAGAATCAGCTCAAACTTTCTACACAACATAAGTACATGTACATGTATCAGAAAAAATATAATAACAATAAATTAGCTCCTTCTAATTTTTGATGAAATATCCTACACTATAGCCCATGCATAACTAGCATTGAATATAGCACTGTGAAAATGGGAGAACACTCAAACTCAAAATACTGCATCATACACACACTACATGTAAGTATAGACTAATACCATATAGCAGGAAATTTTGGAGGGGATTAAATTTGGCAAATTTGGAGTTTTGATAACCATTTGCCAATATAAAACCAACCATTTTGAGCCATTATACACATGCTCAATGGCACTTGACCACTAATTCGCCAAATTAAAATTCGCCAATCACCAAAATTTTGTAATTCGCCAAACTTTAGCTCCTCCAAAATTTCCCACTATACAGTAAATCTAACTTATTACTGCATACATACATACCTTGGCAGTATCATAGTGATCACTGTTCCTAGTATCACTGGCTGTTACATTAGCTTGTCCAATAGTGAATGAGGTAATGAGACCGGAGTTAGACACACCCACCACATCAACGTTATCACTGGTCCACTGATAACTGCCACTCCCTCCAATCACCTATTAATAATATTAATAATAATAATAATAATAATAATAATAATAATAATAAAAGATCAACTTAATACATGGTACATGTATAAGACGGCCATAAATTTGTAAAAATTATTTTCTTGAACCTCCAAAATCCAAACACATTAAATCATCAATAAAAAATTATTAACAAAAAACCACCACACGGCAAGAGACATATATGTACAGTGTACTTGTACATTTGAAACTTAAATCATTAATAAATCTACATTTACATGTGAATAAATGTATGCTTAAATATCTTGAATGTACCTTGAGTTGATGCTTGTACTGGTACTCATTCTTACTGTCCCAGAGGAGTAGCAACACACCAGGCATGACTGTGATTGGATGGAATATCTCAATCAACTGCTTCTTGAACAATGGGACTGGTAATGGATACACCTCATCAGTCTCTGGGTGCTAAGAAATAATATAAATAAATAAATACATGTAAATAAATAAATAAACAAACAAACAAACGAATCAATAAAAACTAACTAATGAAAACTAACAGGTCAGGTAATAATTCTACATGCACATGGATCCCATTGTTATTACATGTACATGTATCAATGATGATGAATATACTTGCCTTCAGTTGGTTTATTGAAGCATTGAGGTAGGTCTTTCCAGGTTCATCAGCAGTGACACTGTGATACGAGCCATTAGCAGTTGAATAATGTATACTGAAATAATCACTGGAGACCTCTGTCACCAACAACACATTCTACAATAATAAAAAATAAAAATACATGAATTATTGTACAATGTATATGCTTTATGCTTTATTGTGTTAAAATATTATTTATTATTATATTAATTATGTACTTTGGTAATTAGAATCTTGTGATTGTTGGTGTCTTTCAAGTTAACAATAAACACGTATTGTTTACCAACTTGAAGAACCCACTGATGACCAGGCAGTACATCTAAATCTACAATGAAAATATAGAAGAGAGAGAGAGAGAGAGAGAGAGAGAGAGAGAGAGAGAGAGAGAGAGAGAGAGAGAGAGAGAAGAGTAATAAGATATAAAAGATTAAAGTACCAATATGATGAGGGAACACAACATGTATATCAGCAGATGGTTTGGCTGCATGTGGAATGTTGAGCATATCTAGAAAAAATCAAGTAAAAATAAAAATATATATTTCCCCCCCTCCTCTTCCTCTCTCTTCTCATACTTTTATCATGGAGTACAATCTCAGTGCTGCCAATGACCATTCCAGTAACTCTTGATGCAGCTCTATCCAGTGATGCTACTGTACTGTTGAGTAATTCAAGGGAATACTGCTCACTGGGCATACTAACAACTAGCAAAGAAAAAACAGAATATTATTAACATAATACAAACAAAAAATTATTAACATTTTACTTTTAGTTGATTATACCCAAATACAATTATAATAACCCCAAAACTTGCATGTACTATAAGCAAATATCTTTATAACTATTATAGGCATGCATATACATCTACAGTGTTACATGTATGCCATTATCAGTACCTTCCACTTTTCCATGCTTTCTTCTCTCCACTCTATAGTCAACATAAGAGTAGGGCATAATGTACACATCAGCTGATGGTAGCAGCATCAGGTTCTCAATCACCAACAGCTTCACTACATCAACAGCTACTGACTAAGAATAGAGACACACAAGTAAGTGGAGAAGGAATGAGGGTGAGAAAGATTGGGAATAAGAAATTACATGTGGCGTCTATAATAGAGTACATGTACATACGTGTACCTTCCATATTTTCTCAGCCAATTTAACACAAACTTTAGCAGTTCCAGTATTAATACCAGAGACCAATACCTCATCACCTTGCTGACCCTATCATGAATTGGTTAATATAGTTACTGTTTATATACAGTACATACAAAATAGAAACTACAGTATAGTGAGAAATTTTGGAGGTACGTACATAGTTAAATTTGGCAAATTGCTAAATTTTGGTAATTGCAAATTTTAGGTCATGTGCCATTGAGCATGAGCAAAATGGCACAAAATGAGAGATTTTATTTTGGCAAATGCCTATTAAATTTGCCAAATTTAATTTCCTCAAAAATTTCCCGCAATGTGATATGTATTATACACTCACTGCTAAACTTCTTACCTCATCTTCAATGGATGATATAATAGGATCAACAGAATAAGAGGAATCCCTAAACTCAACAAATGAAAGGATTGACTCAGGAACAAGCTGTTGACTTTCAGCATCTTCATCCTTGAGCAGTGTCCACTGGAACACATGGCCTCTAACAGTACTGAACATATTGCCTAACATGTTAAATGTGTTGTGTAAAGGTGTAAATAAGGTTACATTACGGCTTTGATTAGCACAACTGTGTACAGTGCAATAAAAGAATGGTATTTTACTACTATTTTTTCACAGTCAGTTAAGCACACCATTGATAATACATGTTCCTATGTCATGTACAAAGTTTGACCTAATTTTTTTGTAGGGATTCTCAATTCTATGGTACAATATTATTATCATAGTGTATGTAAGCTCTGATGTCTGTTCTTAGTGTGGCTGACCTTCATCATCAAAGGCTCTCACTTCAAATTTCTCCGGCTCTTCCTCCAATAACAGTTCCCTGGTTCTCGTTGTTATTTCAATACGGGAAATGGTATCAACGTAGACATCACAGCGTAGAGTCAAACCAGTCACTGCATGCCAACAAAATAAAATATATAGAGTTTTTGATAAAGACAATATGGACCGTCACCGTATGCATACATGTAATTGACAGATTTTGATAACAAATAAAGTAATAAATAGATTACATTACATAAAAGTGTATGGAATAATGGTCCTTACCTTCTTCAGTGGCAATGATGATAGTACTCAGTCTGACAGCATCAGTTGATTGAGGAGTCAGGACTGCTTCCCTTGAACATTTAAGACCTTTAAAATGACCCAATATACATGCAATTAATTTAAATGCCAATTCAACACCACAGAATAATTACAAACTAATATATTATTATTATTATTAATGCTGAATAATAATAATAATACAACTCACCTGTCTTTGATACCATATACACAGGGTGAACACTAGCAACATCAGGTTTAGTACTAATCCTATTAAAAGAGAGGCAATGACTCAATGATACGGAATGTTATGCATACAGATAAACTCACCAATTAAAACAGCCATAGTCTGACTTTAAAGTGAAGTTAGATTTCACTCCAGAAGGTGGAACACGAGGCAAGAGGACACGAGGTACATTGAGTGTGTACTGTTTGGAGGCTCCTGTGTCAATGAAGCTAAGGACTAGGAGCAAAGAGAGGAGAAGGAGAGGAAGAATAGTACAGTTCCTTCCCGCCATTTTAATGCAACACGTGGTTAGTAAAACCCCGCCCTAAAACCCGCCCCTAGCACTTTAAATAAATTAAAATTTTTAATAAAAATTAATAATAATCTTGAAAATTGATTAGCACTTAAGCAGCTTAGCACATTATGTGCATATGTGCATAACTTGTACAGCATGTGTTTCAGTCTGTTCAGACACTTTCATTAATGAACTGGGTACTATATAATCATCATATAACACAGTTATCACCTGTCCATGGGTTTGGCATTGTTCTCTTGTTCACACTTGTCAATAAATTAGATCATAATTGTACTCAAACTATGTATTAACATGTCTAATTAAAGCTTGGTTTGAGTATATAAGGAGAGAGAGCACTGAGTCCTGCATTATTTGCTCAAAGCTTGCCATACACTTGAAATCAAAAGTTCCTAAAATGAAGACTACTGCCTTTGCTTTTGTACTCATGTTTGCAGTTCTTGTTGGACTCTCTCATGCTGCATCTGAACCAGTATCTTGTCGATATCCACCACCCAATTATGGTCACATGTACACACCACTCCAAGATGGCTATGAGCATAATGCTAGAGTTACTGTTGGTGAACCACCAATGAAGGTTTATGTTTGCTACAATGGCCAGTGGTTTGATTAAAATTTTGCAAGTAAGTGTAATAATTTTTTCAACTTTTTAAAAAATAATCAAATATTATACTTTATCTTATCATAGGTCCAAAAGAAAGAAAATGAACACTATCATACTTAACTGTAGTGTAGATATAATTTCATTTTGCTGCCCTTTTTATTTTGAAATAATTTCTTAAAAAAATCAACTGAAAATAAATCAACCACGCAAGTATTATTATTAATGACAAGCATAATGCATCATGAGCTAATACAAATGCTATTGCATTATAGTACATCTTTCATTAGCTGGATGATGTGATGCTGTTTACTATTTTTATTCAACTACAAGTATTGCAATATTCACATCAACATAATCATTGACGGTAACAACAGTAACACTGTAAACCATTAGCTACCATGCATACGTAATCAAGTTACAGACAAAAACATTTTCCAATAATAAACACCTGATCTCAGGACCTTTCTGTGTTCACAGCCATGTTAACATATGTACCAGTCTGCATTAATACAAGACATGAACATAATGAAAATGGAAATTACTACATAAGCACAGTGTTAACCCACGTGTCAACACGTGGTAGACTATATTATAATTAATTGATTCACATGACAAAACCGCACCCATTTAAAATGTACCCCTCTACTTTAGTTGTTATTATCCTTGTTAGCTCCTTTCTTGTAGTTGAGACTGATGCTATATCTTTTGGAGACTTAAAAAGGAAGATAGATCAAGGAGTAGGCTTTGCTAATGAGCTGCTCGGAGAAAGTGGCGAAGTGAGTGCATAGTTCAGGCTGACTGCACAGCATTTTAATATTATGTATGTATATATATATTTTCAGATACCAAGAGGTACTGGTGGCTGTGTTGTTAAATGGAATATACAGGGCACATTACGTGGATTGAAGTGGAAGTGGGTATGTACATGTCGTGATACATGTACAGGAATTGTTGAAGTTCAAACTAAATACAGTCGTGATGGCTCACTGGAGCACTGTCTTACTCATTTGTTCCAGAGACTTGGAAAGGAACTCTAATTTCTGTTATACCAATTTACTCCTTATTCATTTATCTACTTGATTTTGTTTCCAAATAGTTAGTTGCTCTTTGTAGTTAGTTATAGTTAGCTCGAATTTTGTTTAACCTTTTAAAAGATACATTTTTAGAGTGGATTAGAAAGAGAGAATAGAGTAAGAGGAAAGCAAGGTAGGGGTGAATGTAGGCTAGGCAAATTATTCTAGCATAATTTGGAGCATAATAAGGCACTGGCATAATTGGAGCATAATGAATCAAAAATTTCTGGCAATTCAAGATGGCAGGTAGTACAAGTACTAGTACAACAACCCAAGTTACCCAACTGCTTAGTGCCCACCCATGCAAGCATGTCAAGTCCATTGACTTAGACTATTCTATTTTCTAGTGACTCAAACTCACTGCACTCACTGGGAACATTTTCAGATTCTGGCATTATTCCAATATTATTCTTATTACAATAATAACAGATGCATGTACATGTACATGACTATATGTAACTTGATAGTTAATATTTGAGTAAAGCTTAAAATATGAGCATAAAATGAGCATAATTGGATTCATTTCAAAACATGATAGGGTGGAATTTAGGACAGTGCCTGAAAGCATAATTGACACCAGAGATTGCATCATGTATCCACCTTTCATCTACCATGTATTTACTTGTATTTTAATTTTTTAACATTGTATGTACTTTTACTAACACCATTTACTTTCATGTATTTACTTGTATTTTGCTATGAACTTATCACAACATAAACTGGTTAAATAACTGTACTAAATATGGTAACTTTTATTTTAAAAAAGAGTAAGTGTTTAATGAGGCATGAATTATGAATAGTCAATAGTGACTGAACCGTAGTTTAATGCTAGTTATTAGGGTTAGTTGACTAATAATAACATTAATAACTATTAATAGTAGATACAAGAGCAATATTTCATATACTGCTGTCGCTAATCATATATCTACATTTATCTACTTTTTCAGCACTTTCTCGTGTACATGAGTATCATGTATATATGTGCAATGTGTGATTGACACATAATTTGCCTAGCCCTAGGCATAGATATAGAGTAAATGAAAGTGACTTCATTTACTTTTGTTTACTCTAATATCTATGCCCTAGATAAATGTAGTTTCACCTGCTCCTTTGCTACCAGGTAGCAAAAAGGTGGGGCGAGACTAGGGTGAACCGAATGCTACTTGAGTATCAGTCCTAAATGGGTTGGATTGACAATTTGCGACACTTCTGGAATCAAAACCTTTGACTTTACATTTTCAAATGCATCATTTCAGTATTGCACATAGTGTATGTATACGCAGGTCACAGGATCATTATACTGATTTCAGAAAATAATATTATCATTATAAAAAACTTCAAATTTTTTTAAACAATGCTGTAAGACAATGTTCCAGTGCTCCATCTCGACTTTGCTTAGTATGTACTTCAGTGATACCAGTTTTAGTGTCATAGCAGGTGCCTATCCACATCCATTCAAAACCACGTCTTGTGCCCTGTATGTTCCACTTTATTGGACTTTTTCCATCTCCTCGCTGTATCTGGAGTGATTGATTAGTATATCAAGTATACATGGTGATCTTTACTTCTCCGTTTTCTCCTAGTAGTTTATTAGCAACTTTAACCCCTTTTTGTAACATGTCAAGCACATCATCAAAATTGACCGTGTTGTGTTTTTCCTTTTCTATAAAATTGAGGTTTATATATTAGCATAAGGAGCATGGATTAATACTTTTTTGATCATTTGAAAAAACTTCTTCTTTATGATGACCATCAAAAATGCCAGCATTACTATTAACATGACTGTGTAGTCTATGTACTACCAAAAATTTAAAGTTAACATGAACAGATTCAATATATATATACAGTAAAAATTCGACTCACTTTCTTCATTTAACTTGTCAGCAACAGCAATCTCATCTATAGAACGTATTGCTTTACTCAATGATTCCCATGTAGCGCCTCCTTTTTGATCAACATTGTCGAATCTACTGAGCCATTTAGACAAGCACTCAGTCAAGCACCTGGGAATATCACCAATATGGGTCTTCTCTATTGTATCTAATGTGGTTTTTAGTAGGCCTAGCTTTAGACCAAGGTCAAACCATCTTACATATGGGAAACCACATCTCTTAAGAACATCAACAACATCAATCAGTTGGCTTGGATCTGAGGAAGGTAAAGTGTAAAAGAAGTGGAGCAGCCGCAGAGGGGACTGACTTAATTTTGCAACATACATCAATATTAAGATAGATAATAGAATATAAGTAAAATCCATAGATTACCAATAGAATTATCTGCTGAAGACCTGGAAACCAAAGCTGAAGTTATAGCACAAAGTAGGAGTACTAAAGTTTTCATGTCCAATCACCACAAGTGGGTGGACCAATAGAATCTTTGAACACACCCAAGCAACATGGTCATGGAGTTAGAAGAGTTAACTTTGGAAGTGAAGAAAGTGGACGACTCCCTGACTCGTCTGGAACAAAAAATAGCCAATCTACAGCAAGAGAAGATAAAACTGGAGGATAGGAAGAACCTCCTGGTATCTCAAATAGAATCCCTCCACGAACTGAGATCAATGCAAGACAAAGCATCAGATTGGGAAACAATGACCTTCCCTTGGTCCCAGATACTATTAACAACACTGAACTCTGTCTTTAAGATAGAGTCTTTCCGTCCGCTACAGCTCCCCTGTATTAATGCCTTGATGTCAAAAAGAGATGTCATGCTTATAATGCCAACTGGTGGAGGAAAGAGTCTCTGCTATCAATTACCAGCTGTCATCAGTGGTGGGTTTGCTCTAGTTATATCTCCACTGGTTTCGCTAATGGAGGATCAACTAATGTCAGTCAAACGGTTGGGCATCAACTGTGCAATGATAAACAGCAGCAGTCCCCAAGCACATGTAAAGAAAGTTCACTCTAGCATGATCGACAAGTCAGACAGGAGTCTCAAACTAGTTTACGTGACGCCGGAGAAGATTGCAAAAAGTAAAGTATTTATGTCTAAGTTGGACAAAGCCTATGGGTTAGGCCGTCTCTCAATCATCGTCATTGATGAAGTCCATTGTGCCAGTCAATGGGGCCATGACTTCAGACCTGACTATAAAGTACTCGGAATACTCAAAAGACAGTTTCCAAATTCTCCACTCCTTGGTCTCACAGCTACAGCAACATCAAAAGTATTTAGCGACTGCAAGAACATCCTCAACTTGCGCTCTTGTCTCATTTTTAAAGCATCATACAATCGGCCTAATCTGTTTTATGAAGTACACAACAAAATATCGTCTCAGAAGGAACAGGTTGACACAATGATTCAACTGATTAATAGTCGATTTAAGGATCAGAGCGGAATCGTGTACTGTTTCAGTCAGAAAGACGCAGAGCAGGTTTCTATTGCTCTACAAACTGGCAGCATTTCTGCTACTTGTTATCATGGAGGCATGGATGCTGGAGATAGGACTAAGGCACATACTGAATGGTATGATGGAAAAATACAAGTAAGTCTTAGCAGTATTGTACTAGAACTCACAAGCCATAGTAGTTTGTAATTACCTTAATTTTAAAAGAACGCATGCATATTATGTATTAGAAAAATGGAGAGTAACATAAAAACACTAGTGTAGTATCATGTAATCCATATTTAATATCACATCTGCTCTGCTTGCAGGTTATTGTCGCAACCGTTGCCTTTGGCATGGGTATAGACAAGAGTAATGTGAGATTCATAATGCATCATTCTATTAGTAAGTCAATGGAGAACTACTATCAGGAGAGTGGTAGGGCTGGTAGAGATGGCCAGCCAGCAACTTGCATATTATACTACAAACTTGCTGACGTTTTCAGGTAAGAATGAGACACATTGTCTTATTATTTATTCATTTTTTAATATATAGACAGAGCACAATGTCATCTAAGGACTTCACTAGTGTGGCTAATCTCTATCCAATGGTCCAGTACTGTATTGATGCTGTCCAGTGTCGGAGAGCTTTAATTGCCAAGCACTTTGGAGAAACATGGAAGCAATCTGATTGCAATGAAATGTGTGATACGTGCAAAGTCAAGTCTAGAAGGAGCAATGATATTGTGACTGAGGATGTGTCTAATATCTGTTTGGGTTTCATTGAGGTTCTTGGTAACAGTTCAAAGCGTCTAACAGGACATATGCTAGTCGATAAATGGAAGAGCTCTTCTATTGCTAGTACTCAGTTCTCTAGTGGCAATAAGCCAGGTATAGATAAGCTTGAGAGAGTACTGTCCCACTGTTTGTTGACTAACATCTTAAAGGAGTCGTTTCACTACACCTCTTATAACACCATTAGTTATATTGTGCCTGATAAAAAAGCAGCTGCAGTGAAAACTGGAAAAATGACCGTTAACATTGAGAGATTAAATAGATTTCCATTATATGATAGTTCATCGTCAGTTATTCAATCAACGAGTAGTCCAGCAACCAGTGGTCAATCAAAAGTGAAGCCATCAACTAGCAGCAGCTCATCTTCACTTTACACTCCAGCATCATCCATCAAACAATCCTCAACCAGCACACCAGTAGCAACCACACCAGTAACAACTAAACCAGTAACAACTACACCAGTAACAACTAAACCAGTGATCAATAAATCAGCAAGTACAACCAGTATGCACTTATCAGTCAGCAAACCATTGCTTACACCTGTTACTCCAATCATTAATTCATCACTTAGCACTAAGCCATCAGCCAATACACCTAAGACTAGTAAACCATTGAGGAGTAAAGGTTAGTGCATGCATGTCTTGACATTATATTATTTTCATCATTCCTTAGAAGCAGGTGTTAGAAAGAGAAAAAGAGCTAGTATGTCTAAAACCTTTTTTGCAGACTCTGATGATGATATTGATGACTTTGAGACACCAAAGAAGTCTAATGTGCTTAGTCTAAGGAAAAGAAAGGATAAAGGGAAAGGCAGACTATCTTTTCCAGCCTCTGTCTCTGATGATGTAATTTGCATTGACAGTGACTCTGATTAGTGTCATCATTCATAATAGTTATGAGTTGATTCTCTTACAAACATTGCCTCAAGTTTAGACTATATGTTCACATTATTATATTGCTAAAGGTGCTGTATCCAATAAATATTTTACTTTTGCAAATGGGCGGATTTATTTAATTTGATAACAGTATTCACAGTTTAGTCTAAAAGTTCATGAACTATTGCTATTGATGCCTGATTGAATTACAGTAAAAATATGGTATTCATAAGGGTTTGTTGTGGATATATTACATGTGCAGCTATTTACTGACTCCTTTCCTGTTTACAGCAAAAAAACTAGTTGATTCCTCTCCATTTCAACAAAGATGAAGAAACTTTTGCTAGCATTGACCGTGATTGGTAAGTAGTAATAGACTTTAAGAATAGAAAATAGGGGAGCTTCATGCACACAGAGTTTAGCCACTTCAATTTCCATTTTAAATGTAATGCATATTCCTCATTATTAGGGTACTTACAGTGTTCTTTTGCTCATTATGGGACGGAATTTTTCATTGGAGCAATGAGAAACTTCCGTGAACAGACAGAAGACTTCTTATTGTATATTGCAACCCCCTCTCTCTCTTCAGTTTCTTATACAGTTGCAAACAATACTGGTATAATCACTAGCGGAGTAGTTTCAAAGGAATCTCCTGCTATTGTAGAATTACCCATTGCTCTTGTTACTAATGATGATGAGTATGCCAGTCGGTTCAATGGTGTGTATCTTAATGCCACTAATGGAGGAGAGCTCTCTGTCATTGTTGTTAATCATCGTCCTTATACTCTAGGGGACTATTTAGCCTATCCTTATCATGACTTTCAAGTCTCTCAATACCAGTATTATGCTGTATCAACAGAGTTTGAAGGTGATAACATTTTATTAAGTGAAATTCTTCTAGTTGGGAACGAGAATAATACAACTGTCACTATTATCCCAACTCAGACTATAATGGTTCCCATGGACTTTCAAAATGCCACAAGTGAGAGTATAACAATTGCTGCTGGGTCCGTGTACACATTCACAATTCATAGACTGCAAACCTTCCTTTTTGGAATTCCAGAACTTGACATGAGTGGTACTAGTATTGTATCTGATAAACCTCTTACAGTACTCAGTGGTCATGAATGTGTCTATATTCCTTCAACAGAGTGTTGCTGTGATCACATCATTGAACAGATACCTCCTACAATAACATGGGGAAAAAATTTCCTCCTAACTCCTTTTGCTGAGCGGATCAACGGCCCATTCTACAAGATCATAGCAGCTGAAAGTCAAACCACATTCACATACACTTGTGCTTTTAATGACAGCATATTCAGCAACACTTCATATCTAACACTTGCTGGTGATTTTATTACTCTCAGTTCTAATGCAAGCTCATACTGTTTCATTCACTCAGACAAACCAATTCTAGTGACAAAACTGGGTCCAGGTCGAGATCCTGTCAGCTCCATTGGTGACCCAGTCGTATCATTAATCACTCCAATCGAACAATACCAGAATAATACAGCAATATTAATTCCATCATTTTCTCTCATCTCCAATAGCTATATTAATATTGCTACTAGAACAATAGGTCCAGTGTACATTGATGGTCAGGAAGCAGAAGATGTGACTTGGGAGAATATCTATAACAGCAATAGCGCCATTGTTGGCTATGGGACGCAAATCTTTTTCAACAGCAGCCTCAACTCAACTACTTATGTCATCTCAATGCAGTCCACTTTTGGTACAATGGTGTATGGATTTGGACATTCTCATGGCTATACCTTTAGTGCTACGACATATTTTAATACACTAGTTCAAAGTAAGCACATTTATAACATCTTACAATTTAGATCTATTTGTATATTTTATAGATCCTTTACAGTTAGAGCCATGGTATGGTAATATGTTGGGAGGAGTTCCAATTATGGTATCAGGCCCTACCTTTGGGAAACCAACTGATGACATTAAACTTTCATTGGATAACGTTGAAGTTGTTTGCAGTCATCTCAATGCTAAAAAGGCATTATGTGTCACTCCTTTTCTCAATAAAACAGGAAAGGTAAATGCTGAACTTACTGTCCAATCGATCAAACACAAAAGGACAGCTATATACTATTCTAGTAAGCTAAATTGTGTACTATAGTCATTGTTATTACCCTATACATATTTTATACAATGTAGTTCCATCTGAAGATGACGTTAAAGTTGATGTTCCCAATACAGCAACAGTTTTCAAAGTTGGAAACACTCTCAATATTTTATGGGAACCAACTTCTTTGTCAGGTGATGCCAACTCTAAGGTTGATATTAGTATGCATGAGGTGTCTAATACGTCTAATGGTACTTTCGTGCATAATCAACTCATTGTTCTAGCTACTAATATAGCCAACAGTGGTCATGCAACTGTTAATATATCAACTACACAGCTACTCTCTGCCCTTAGCTCAGTCAGTGCAGTCAATATTTTTGTAAAACTTAGAAAAGATGTGCAACAACCTGCTGTTATTGATACCGTACTTAATAAAATTGGACTCTGGTCAAGAAAGCTGCATGTGTCTTTTAATGAAACACTGTCTGCAATACTTTACCAAAAGTGCCTCAACTGGGCTAGTAACGAGCCAGCTACTATTGGCCCAGTTCTTCTTGCTAGTGTGACAGCTACAGCTCCTTGTCCCCCTACAGTTGAACAGGCAACCCCTGAGCTCAGCCCAGGTCTCATAGAAGATACTAACAAGAAATCCATTGACACATTTCATTCTGGTGCATCAAGATGTTTTAGACAAAGAACAGCTACAAAGTAAATATTAATTAAGTAATATGATAGCATTATAATGTCTATCTCTTTTAGTATTGGAGCTGGTAATCAGTGTTGCTATCGTGCTAGTGGTACTCTGATAGTAGGGTCCCCTAATGGTGGTAGTGTTGATAAGGTAGCACCAACTGGATCAGGGCTAGACTACATAAGCAATGTGTATGGACACTTTACTGAGGATGTACTTCCTTACATTTACTGCTGCACTGGTATGAAGCGTAACTGCACCAAGTATTATGAGAGAAGAACATCAGATGATGGAACAAGTTATGTAGATCCTACTCCACCTGGTAAGATTAGATATATGCAATTGACTGATATCAAAATATTCTTTTAGGAGGAGGAGTAGGCGATCCTCATATCATAACACTTGACCTTTATAAATATACTTTCAATGGAAAGGGTGAGTTTATACTCATTGAGACTGAAGACCAGTCCTTCGCACTACAAGGAAGAATGGAGGAATCAGTTGAGACAAATGGTACAACTGTACGTGGAACTGTCTTCACAGCAATAGTAGCAAAACAGGAAGAGTCTGACATAGTGCAGTTTGAAATACAAGATGGTGTCCTAGTTGCACTGGTCAATGGCAAGCTGTCGGATTTTAGTGAATTAAAGACACAAGAATTCAGAAATGTTGTTATATATAATTCTGACAGTAGTAACAGCACATTCAGTGCATACTTCATTAATAATCGGGTTTACATTAAAGTTCAGGAAATGAATGGTTTTATAGCAGCTCTAACTGTCACAGTACCCAGTCAATACAGAGGACTCACTCGTGGTTTAATGGGTAACTATAATGGTAATGACACTGATGATCTTATACCAAGAGGATTGAATCAGTCTCTTCCACTCAATTCATCATTACAAACTATACACGAGGACTTTGGAATGACATGTTAGTTAAAAATATTTTCCATTAACTCGATCAAATCTTTTATTATAGGGATTATTAAAAATGCTAGGGATAGTTTGTTTAGCTATTCATTTTCTAAAACTCTGGAAACATATTATGATCCGTCATACACCCCTACATATGAGGCTGTGTTCACTGATCCTAGTCTGGAGCAGGAAGCAATCAGGATTTGTGGTAATGATGAGTTTTGTAAGTTTGACATAGCTGCCACTGGGAGAGTTGAAATAGGAGAAGCTACATTCAATGGTGGACAAGCAATTGAACAACTAGTGAACCTCTCCAAACCAAGTAAATCATTAATCCACATTATTATTGTACATTCAATGTATAATAATTAGTCATTTGTGTCCCACCTTGTGCTCACGGTGCATGTGTTGATACTAATGTGTGTGCTTGTGGTGAAGGATATGAAGGAACTACTTGTAACATTACAGGTTAGTAACTAACTACCACAGCTGTCATTAAATAAAAATCATTTATCATTAATTTTGTTATTGAAAGTGACCAGACCTTGCACTGAGAATCCATGCAATGATGGCTCCTGTCAATATCATGCTGGTACTTATATTTGTACATGTTTATCTGGATTAACTGGTGAATTCTGTGAAGAAACAAGTAAGATCAAAATTGCTTTAATAATTATACCATTAATAATGTCATAGTTAATACTAGTCCGCCTGGGCCTGAAACTAGTGGTGATGTTGGCTTAGTTGTTGCATTAGCCATTGGGATTGGACTTCCGTTAATAATACTCATACTAAGTGTTGTTATTGTGGTTCTGGTTCTTGTAAAATGTGGAATACTTCCAAGTTTGGCAAAACGTGAGAAAAGTGAAAATACTTATGATGAACCTAACAATTTCAATGATGATATCTATGAAGATATAAATGACATTTGAAAGGTTTTTTGCTGTTAAAACTTGCTGACTATATATATCTAAGTTTTAAACTATAAAATCTATATATATTTGCTTTTTTTAGTTATTTTGCTTTTTTTAGCTGTTAGCTTGCATTATAATATTATGTACTCTTGCACATACCAAAGTTGCTTGGATGATAATAAGTATAACATTATAATTTATGATGCATTGAGCAGACTGATGCACATGCCAGACAATGTGTATACATATAATCATTAGTTAATGTACTTAAACGTGAACATAATTATTATACCCACTTAGCTCTACACTACTGAATTACAAATTATGCTTCTTGTATTTAAAAATTAAATAAAGTGGGTATTCTAGTCTACGTTTAATAGAAGCACCACTTCAATACCACCTGTCTTATAATGTACTTTATAAGTTTTGCATGAAAATTATCTAGATTGATCCGCATTATAATTTTAACTATTAAAAATAAAAAACCAGCACTACAATGATGATAAATCTTATATAAATGGTTTCTTTTAAAAAATATATTGAATAAAGAATAATGGCAAAATGAGGTAAAGTACAACAAGACAATGTTCAATAATATGCATCTTTCTTTTCCTGAACCTGAAATGACACATCATAATGCACAAGTATATATTACAGTTTCACTTTACCTGCTGACATTAGTACCAATGACCATGGCGACACGTATAGGTCCTTATTGGTGGCTCACCAACAGAGACCCTGGCACCAAACTGGTATCCGTTCTGCTTTGGTGTGTAACTCAGTCCACCAGTGTAGGGTGGGCCTGAGCATGATACTCCTCCTGGTACACCCATCTGAGCATAGGAGAGCCCAACCAGGACAGCAAACAAGAGAACAAAAGCAAAGGAAGCAGTCTTCATTTTAAAAATTTAATAATCTCCAAAGAGCAGCACTGAATGCAATGTAGGATTGCTTTCTCTCCTTATATACTGAAGTCAAGCTCTAATGAGACATGTTAATAGATAGTTTGAGTACAATTATGATCTAGTTTATAGACAAGTGTGAACAAGCCAAGCCCTGAACAATAATTAGCTACAGCACACAAGCAGCATGATATCACAGTCTGGCACAAGATGAACAATGTGTGTACATATTACATAATAATGCTAAATATTTGTGACTATAAACATAATTAATTATCAAATTATAGACTGAAATCAATTTGAATAATGAAACGCTAATTTTATAAAACATCTTGTTCATGTAATGTTGTTTCCGAGAGAATAAATTTCAACATCTTTGATCTTGACCGCCATAGACTTGACTCTTCACAATTGGGCCTGCCAAAAAGAAAGTGAGAATTAAAGTATCTGATTGGCAGGTAGTGTTTAAAACTACAACAATATCGACACTAGTATCATTATTAACAATACTAATAATATTGATAATTATTATACAATGCCCAAAGGAAATGCAATTGTTGGACGGAATACGGCAGTTCATTTCATATTAGGAATTAGTTATGGATGACAAGTAGTGAGGGTATATTGTAGGTTGAAGGTGTCAGTTACTTACATAGACTGACATTATTACTGAAGAGAAATTTGAGGTTTGGCTTCAAAAAAAAATCATTTCAATGAACAGAGAATATTGTGACCTCCTTCTGTCATGTAGGAACAATTTGACACCGTCAGGGGATGAAAAAGCTTCTTCATAAAGCAGATGAAGTATAAGAACATAATTTTTAAATCTTGCAGAGAGAAGTTTTGACTAGGCTGTGACACATAAATTGTAAAAAAAGAAGAGACCCAAAGAATTGTGTGACCTCCTTCTGTCATGTAGGGACAATTTGACACCGTCAGGTGATGAAAAAGCTTTTTCATAAAGCAGATGAAGTATAAGAACATAATTTTAACATCTTGCAGAGAGAAGTTTTTACTAGGCTGTGAAACATAAATTGTAAAAAAGAAGAGACCCAAAAATTTTCTGAAAGTTTTCTATAGTGTGAAGATGATGAACTTGATTCTTAAAAATAATATGGTCCAATAGAGAGTGGGGTGTGCATAAAACTTGAGCAACTTTTCATGCAGGCTTATCATGTAGCTAACATAAATATTAATGAAGGACATCGTCACCAACACTTCAATTGCTATTTTACCATAACGTGCGTGAGCTGCAGTCATGAATGGTGCTTCAGATGCCATGCCTATTGGCACAAGGACATTAGTTGCAAAAAATTTCAGAAAGGAGACAAATGGCCCCGCTCCAGCTGAAACAGATCCTCTGAACTTCTTTATCTTAGCCATTATAAATAAGTGGAAAAAAAATTGATGTAGTTGAGCACATTTTGCATAAAGTAAAGAGACTCTTAACTTTCTTCAACACGTTGCTAGTCTGGAGATGCAAATCACATAATTTCTAATGTTGAGTATTAACTGCAAGTGGACTCTCTCATTAAGAGATGGTCGCATATATTATTAATAAAACATATATCCAGTTAAAAATGACTTGTACCTTAATAATATCTTAAATGTATTTGATACTTTATCTCATCCAGAAGTTGATGCAATTATCCAAAGCTTTAAAAATTCGTTATAATTTGTGTAATTTTGTTTTTTTCTTATGAAAAAGAGAAAATATGGTGCACCATTTCCTCTTCCATTGCAGCAATGCTAATAAAATTAATTCTGTGTGCTATGCATTTCGAGAGGCCACGGTTTGATCAGCATAATAGCAATAAAAATTGATGCAACATAGCATAATAACATTGAAACTATAATATGCAAAGCTAGTCTGGACTCAAGGCAAAAAAGAGAATATGATACCTCTTCCAAAATGATAAGCACTTATGGTCGTTTGTGTAAGAAAAACAACACCACAGTAGAGGAGGCATGAAAACTATTATTATTATCATTATCATTATTAGTCCAGACACGTCTTACATGGTCTGAATGACTTTTTGAAGAAACTATCTGTTCTTTTTGACTAAGTTTTTTCTTATGAAAAAGAGAAAATATGGTGCACCACCTCCTCTTCCATTGCAGCAATGCTAATAAAATTAATTCTGTGTGCTATGCATTTCGAGAGGCCACAGTTCGATCAGCATAATAGCAATAAAAATTGATGCAACATAGCATAATACCATTGAAACTATAATATGCAAAGCTAGTCTGGACTCAAGGCAAAAAAAAAGAGAATATGATACCTTTTCCAAAATGATAAGCACTTATGGTCGTTTGTGTAAGAAAAACAACACCACAGTAGAGGAGGCATGAAAACTATTATTATTATCATTATCATTATTAGTCCAGACACGTCTTACATGGTCTGAATGACTTTTTGAAGAAACTATCTGTCCTTTTTGACTAAGACTAACTTTTCATTTATCACTCACAGGACATTAGTGTTTGTTGTTATAAGCTTTCATAATAAGCTGTATTCCTTACGGAAGGTGCTTCAAAGATCCTTAAGGAGTAAAAGGCTAATAGCTATGCATGCCAGAAGCTCACCTTTAAAAGAAACTTGTTAAAGTTTAAAGTTATAATGCAACAAAGGCAATGAATGATCTGCAGTAGCCTCCTCCCATTGCATGAGAGAATGTATGCTTTTATTGTATAAAGATGTGCTATTTTGTCAGCCTTGACGACAAGGACAGAATAAAAGTGAGTCAAAACTGAGAGGGACAGTCTAAGGGGAAAAGCAAGATACATGTATGCTATGTAGCTAGTCCCCTGGCCAAAAGCTATTGTAGGGATTGACTGAGGTATGTTAAGTGTGGCAAGCATTTCATGACACATGATCCTAAATAAGTGGAGACTCTGCCATTACCCAATGAGAATTTTGTGAGGTTGAGATCTCTCACTGTTAAGAACTCATCACTATATGAAATAATAATTTCTCCTTTTTCATTATCATCTGTGTCCACAAGAGTAGGCAAATATAATTAAAAGAGATACAAGCTTTGAAGGAATGAAATATGCAAAAGTTTTCCATTACAGACAGTGTCGGTTTTGTAGCTCTGCAACAAAAACAATAATAATTGGAAGTACAAAGTACATGACTTTTTTTACAAATAATGTATCATTCTATATTTTCAAAATCTGCGCTATACAAGCTAAGCATGCCAATTTGCTGACTTTGCCCAGCATTGTACCGAGTTACTGGCTCAGAGAAGGAGGGAATAGAGACAAGGCAAGCAACAGCTCTATAGACAACCTCTTTCTCCATAGAAGTGAGAAGGAATTTTGTGGTAAAAGATGCAATGAAGGAGGCTTCAAAAAGCAAGGACAAACCAAGCAAGACATTACAAGTAATCCATTATTAATAATGGAAATAATGTCCCAGGACAAGCAATTAAAGATAACTCGTTACTTAAAATCATCTAATTAAATGCAATTGTAACAAGATTATACTTGTAATGAGTATCCAGTCATCCTTGGAGACTCAATGATCATTGTAATAGAGAAACAACTACTATCAGCAATAATGAGATCAGTAGTCCTAAACAAGAACTACACTAGTATATACCAGCTACAGTGTACCCTCTCTTCTCCCCTTTGTGTCATAATAATGTTACATGTAAATTTCTATGTTCACTTTTCTCTCCTCCTTTTTGTTGTAATGAAAGAGTTGGCAGCTTACACCTTACAATGACCAATTGCTGATAATGACAATGAATGCCACTGGAGACTCAATGATCACGACTTCAAACAGCAGTATCATTGTAATAGAGAAACAACTATAATATCAGTATAATAGGATCACAACCACTAACAGGAATCATGCTCGTACCAGCTCCAGTTAAAAGAATTGGCAGCTAATGGCTTTTAAGGACCAACTGCAGATAATGACAATTGACAATGAATGCCACTGGAGATTTAATTATCTAGAAACTATTAAAGTACCACATGGATTAAATGAACGCATCTACTATATGAATTACATTCCTTGAATGTGGTAGGCATATGCAAAGTAGTGCAAATAATTTTATAGTTAGGGTTCATTAGAGCATTGGAAGAATTCAGTGGAGCTGAAGGACAAGTAGGAACTGAGGGTCCTCCAATGAAGTAGATACTCAGCTATGCCATGCAGCAAAGCTAAACATGTGTGAAGAAAGAGATAAATATGTTATTATTTTGTCAGACGAAATGCATATAAGAGAGGATCTGGTATATGACAAGCATACAGGTAGAAGTTATTCTTTTATATCCGTCCTTTGATTTCTTAATTCATAAAGTATTTTTATATGAATGTAAGCATAGATAAGGTACATGTACCAATTCTGTGATCAGACCAAAATCTCATTCATAAAAGTAAAAGCTGCATGAAGCTAATATTGATGTATTCCTTTCTTATTTGTTCTAAGTTACTATATTGTAGTCAACTCTGGAGCTGCAGATGTCTCAAAGACATTTCTAAACTTAAGCTGTTATCTTTTTCCCCTGAGCCCAGACAGGTCTTAGAGTGAGTTTTTGAAGAAAATATCTGTACTTTTGACTAAGACTGATTCTTTATTTATCACTCATAAGACATTAGTGTTTGTTGTCTCGAAATGACAGAACTGTTGCTCCGTGTCAACTAAAATTTGGAAAAAGTCAAGAAGTTGGTGCACTGAGTTCGGAAATTGCTCAACTTTTATGAAGGCACACTAACATGGTCGACATAAATCAGCCTGAGGGATGCCATTATTTGTAAGTAATAGCCTGTAAAGAAACTTCCAGAGAATTTGGATATAACATGCATTCTATGCCATTATATCTTAGTAAAACCAGTATGTACAACATGCTGCAAAAGTAGAACATGTAGTAATTGTATGGAAGAATATATTAAGTATATGCTATGTCGTATACATTGTAAATCAGAAAACTATAGTTATTATATAGATGAAAAGCATGAGGGTATGCTCAAGGAATTAGAAGTATATTGTTGTAAAAGAGATGATGATTGTGGATGGAAAGGACAATTAAGTCAATTTTACCTATCCATATTAAGGAACATGAAGATATTGATCATAAAGAAAATGATTGTTATGATTCTATGCTATTCAAATGTTTTAGTTGTATGGAAAGATTCATAGCACATACAGATATGATCAATCATCAACTACATTGCTGCAGAGAGAGATTAATTCCTTGCCCATACTATGAAATAGGATGTTTAGAGCATGTAAAGAGAAAAGATTTGGATTCTCATATAGAAAGTCAATCACATATAAAAGAATCATTGGAGTTTATAAATAAAATTGTAAAAAAAACGTTGAAATCCAAAAAGAACTTACTAAAATGAAGAACAATATTCATAGTTATCAGCATGATAGCGAATCAATAAAAAAAAGAATACTTGTGAAAGTAAGGAATAATGAAATTCTATATTTTAGAGTTGGGTATGGACCAAATGCAAGTGTACAAATATCAGTTAAATTAACTCAAGAATATATATATATAGCAATACATGGTTGTTTTATAGATAAACCTCCAAATATATATTTAACAAGTCAACAAACTGAAATATTGATAATATCTTCTAGTGGAAAATATGATATAAGTGACATAGATGCTAATTGCAATATAAAGGAAGGAAAACCATTGCCATTTGGGGTGTTGAGATTTTTTAGAGAATTATCAGATGGCTGCAAGTTTGAAGATATATTCATGTATGTATAAAACTTCCGAAGCGTGTCAGCCCTTTCCTTTATTTGTAAGAAATGAACTAAATTATTTTTCTTTAGTTCATTCTCTATTTGTTTAAGCAACTTCTCTATACTTTGTTCAAGATCTCTTATTGATATGATTTTTTCAATATATTCTTTAACTTCTTTATCTTCTACTGACATATATTTTTCTTAAATCATTTAAGATCGAGCGCCTAACTCTCAGTATGATTATGTTCCATTTCCAAATACTGGACTAGTTCTTCTAAGACAAGCAGAGACTCACTTATATTGCTAAACACGGTTTCCCACAAAGCAGCTATAGCCTTTGATTATTGGCCCAATTTTTGAGCAACTTCAAAAATTTTGAAAATATCCAAATTTGATTAGAATTAGCAAAAATTTAAAACATAGCATAAGGACATGTATATGTATCAGAAAAAATTATTAAAATGAAGAACTATATACATGTTGATGTGTTGAATATCAACTTTGAGCTGATTCTGATCAAAAATGAATTTTATATGAATCGCTTCAAAAATTTCCCAAAGACCAAGGCAAGCCACAACTGAAGACCATGACTAGCTCAAAAATATTTTTATGAGCAAAGAAATGCATGTCACATCAAAAGTCACAAAATAAATTGTGTTCAGGTAGGATGCATGAAATTGTGCTCTTTTGTGGCCAAGAGCACTAAGTTCTTGAACCACAGACTAATGACACAATTTTACAAGAAGCTTTAAAAAGCTATTTTATCACTTGACGGTGTCAAAATTGTCCCTTCACACAAAGACTCGAGAAATTGCCA